TGCTGCTCCCCATCCCCGCGGGGCCCGTACGGGCTCCCCGCCGCCCGGCCGCGGGTCACCTTCATGGGCGGGCGGTAGCGCGGGGCGCCGCGCCGGGGCCCCGGGGCCATGTTCGTGCAGGAGGAGAAGATCTTCGCGGGGAAGGTGCTGCGGCTGCACGTGTGCACCGTGGAGGGCGCCGAGTGGCTCGAGGAGGTGGCGGAGGACACCACGGTGGAGAAGCTCAAGGAGCGCTGCCTCAAGCACGTAAGCTCTGGGGGGAACGCGGCCTCGTAAACACCCCCTCTTGTTTATTTGTTTTAATATCCTTTTACTAAATAACCAGGTGAAAACCAAATGTTTCCGTGCTCCTGCTCCTCGCCTGGCACTCTCGATCCCCTCCCCCTGGCCCTGCGAACAACTCCTGTATCAAAAGCAAGGGCTATTTTGAGACTGCGTGTTGGCAAATGCTGGGGTTTGGTGGAAATTGCCCTGCAGGCTCTAGGTGCAGAATTCAGGGGCCTGGGGGCAGCAGCAGCATCTGGCCCTTGTGCGTCTTAAGCCCTTAATATCCTGGTGACCATTCCTTGGCACTGGCTCCTGATTTCCCAACAGAGACTAGAGCCCATACTGATTTCAGCCTTTATTTTAAGAACAAACAATGAGAGTGATGACTACGAGGGAAAGCTTACATTTTTTTGTGTCGTTGTTGTGCTTTTTTTTTTGTTTGTTTGTTTGTTTTTATTTATTTATTTTAAAAAAATCATAGTACTCTGTCCTGTGTGGGCACTTGGGTGGGTTTCCGTGGGGTGGTAATGGACTCTTCTAATGCTCTCCCAGTGCTCCGAGGATTGAGGTCTTCATGAGCATGTTCATAGAGTAAACTTCTAATCGCCGTCTTAAATAAAATGGTTAGGAAATACATAGCTGTGTTCTGTGGAAGCTGAGCTGGAAAATGAGGTCTTTTTGTATTTGCTGAGTTATTTGCTTGTATGTTTGTGGCTGTTGAACATCGAAACCAGCGATTATAAAACTATTGGATTGAATTTCCAAGAGTTGGCGTAACTCTGCTTTATCTTAAAGCAAAGATGTGATTGAGGAGAACAGTGTTATAAGATGTGATCCCTGTGCAGGGCTGTTCTGAAGATGGACACCAAAAGCTTGAGTCAAAAGCAGTGGAAATTCTTACTGAGGGGCTTAGTGAAACCCACTTCCCTTTCAGGTGAAAGGGGCCAGGACTTCTCTGGCCTCTGAGAAGGACTGCAGATCCTAAAGTGTTTTCATCTTCAAAGTGCTTCAGAGATGTTAAGAAATCTTGCAGTTATTAATAACTCCAGGTTGCAGTATGAGAACATCCTCCAAGCTGTGGCTAGCTAATCGCATCTTGCGGTAACTTCAGGTTGTGGTAGGTTATTTAGATTACTTCGTTCCCTGGCGAGCACGAGGGAGAACAAGGATGGGCAGCAGCCTGGGGGCTCTCTGCAGTGAGCACTGGAGTTGCTTGTTTTTAACCAGAACCCCTGGAAAGCGCAGGGGACAGCACATGTTCTTTGTTGGCCCTTGGTCTGCATGGGTGCTTCTTGATTCGGAGATGAGAACAGCTACATCTGGGTTTGCTCTATCTGAGGTTGGCTGTGACCTTTTTTGAGGCCAAAAGAAGTTGTATTACTGAAGGGAATGGCTGAAGGGCTGTCTTGGTGTCCATGGAAGAGCCAAATAGGGTGGAGTGATGGTCACACACATGTGTGGAGCCCTGGAATACCCCTAATGCTCAGGAAACTGAATTGAATTGACACTCACATGCAGTGAGAGCCAGGGCAGAAGATAATTGATAATGTGATGGGGATGTTTGATTTCTGCTCTCTGCTGCTTTATGCTAATGGTGCGGATTTGCATAACCATTATCCATAATATATAGCTTTATGGAGGGGAAAATAACCAATGGGAAAATCATGAGTGGTGATCGTGGGGTTGTTGCAATAAACCTTGAAAATGCCTTGAAATAATTTATCCAGCCACCTCTTCTGCTGATGCTGATGATATAAGCACCAAAGTTGTTGAAATTGTCCTTGCAGGAAGCGAAGGAAGATGGCATTCGTTAGGGTGCCCAAATTAGGGAGCTGGGCACTTTCTCCCTCCATAACATTAAAATGCTTATTAATCTCTGAAGAGTCATTTTTGGTATTTTTCTTAAGCTTTATGTGTATATATATATATATTTATACATAAAACTTCTGCTTACAGATCAAGCAAAATTACTTCTCAGTTTTATCTGTTGACCTGTAACAATTCAGTGATGATGACATGTTTTTAAACTGCTAGCTTCAGTCATGTTACATACCTAGTCTGTGGAGGGAAAAAATAAACTGTTTTTTCCTAGATATTGTTAAGCTCAAGCTTTACCATTAAAGCTTTCTTTCAGAACTGTTGCTGTCCCTGTGCAGGGCCCCACCATGTCAGCAGGAGCCCCAGGGGCTTTGGAGATTTCTGTAATAGGAGCCTGCTCACCTGGGCCTGGGGAGGCTCAGTCAAGCCCAGAACCCAGTCCAAGCTTGGGTATTCTCATCATCCATAATTGTTGTGCCCACACTGACGTTTCAGACTAACGTGCTGTGTGCGTGTAAGCTGCCTCACCCTGCTAAGCAAAGTGCAGGGAGAAGCTTTTAATGTTTTGGGTTTTGTTAACGTGCTGCAGTGGCACTCGCCTGGTTTCAAGGAGGGAGCATCTGCAGAACAGAGGTGCAAGGTGCAGCACATGAGGATAAGGTGGGTTCATGCCCCTACATATGTTTTAGATCCTTTTAAGAGGTGGTTTAACCACCCAGGCCTAGTACTAGGGAGTGTCAGCACTATTTTAAAATGTTTCTGTTAATGAAAGCAAACAAACAACAAAACCCGTTTCATATTTAAAAGCAAACAAACAGGCAGCTTTGTGGTTTATCGAGATTCCAAGTACTGAAAATAGTATCCAGTGTCAGCAGGACTTGCAAGTTCAGTGGTTGCTCAGGCATCTGTGAACAAAAGCCTGCTGGAAACTCCAGTGTTAGAAAGAAATGCAAATATTTATGCTGCAAGCAACAGCATAAAACACAGAGCAGGTTCCGTCCTTGTCCTTTTGTGCACAGAGGTGCAAGGGCTTCTCTTCCAGGGAGTTGTGTCCCTGTCTTTGCACAGGGCAATGCAAGTTGACACTGGGCTCCAGGGGCTCCCTTCTTTCTTGGCTTCCCTTGGCTTGTGTGACTGGTCCTCTTCCCTATATAGGGAATTCTTCTTCCTGGGAATTACCAGGATTCTTCCTCCTGTGGGCAGAAAGATGTAGAAGTAAGGTGTCCATGGGACTTCTGCTTTATAACAGCTTTACTGGGGGAAAGTCTGAAAAATGTTGCCTTGAATCCATGGGTTGCTGAGGGTGAATAAGTGATTACCTGCAATTTTTAGATTTTCACTTGCACTTTCATGTTATTAGTAAATATTATGATTGTGTATGTGCACAACTTGATATGTGCAAGGGAAAAATAACATTGGCAAGTGCTCCAAGTGTGATTACTTGCAACAGGTCTCCTTACTCCTGGATCATATATTCAAATTCTTCTCTTCTGGGGTCTGATCTAAAGATCTCTGAAATTAATGTTGAGCTTTTTCAGACATGGGATGTTCTGCTGATGTCCTCTTATGCATTTTGGATAACTTACTGGATCAATTATAGGAGCTGCTCCCAATTGCTGCTAGACTTTAATGCGTTCTTTGGCCTTGGTTCACCAGTTAATATACTGACGGATTAGTAAGAAGTTATACAAAGCAGGGCCGAAACACTCTCACTTCAGTCCTGCTGAGGACTGTGCAGAAGTTCAAATGAAGAACTGAAGATCTGTGATTGAAAACAAGTGAAAAGAGCAAGCGCTTGAGTTCTCCAGCTGCTGCAGTCAAGACAAAGTGGTGATGGACTCCATCAGTCTCCTTCAAAGGAATTCTTTTAATACATATTAGCAGGCCTAAATGCTGCCTCTAAGTGAAGCAAATGGGAACTCTAACCCTATGGTAAAGATGCAGTAGGGCACAAACACCGTGGGATCCAAACTGATTGATATCTGTTGTGATAAAGAGCGTGAGGTCTCAACTTCTAGTTTTCTAGAAGCCTCAATCAAAAGGGGAGTCTTTTGTATAACTGGTGGGTAGCCCCGGTCCGTCAGTCTTGGTGGCACTGTCAGCTTATGCCAGAAGAGCAAGTGAGCCATAGTCAGCTCACATTTGGCTCTTGGAAGGACTTCTGTATAGTCTGTTCAGACTCTGTATCAAGAAAACTCTTCCTTTGTGTCTAGGTGTGTAAATACATGAGTGTTTCTTGGTACTGTTAAACCAGTGGTAAGTCTTACACTGCAAGCCTTCAGGATTCAAAGCGGGTTTCACAGTGAAGGAATTAATATGCAATTTTTAGAGTATTAGTAGGATATTAAGCTGTGTGTGGGGGGAAATTAACTGAATATTTCTGATTGAGAAGAGCTGTGAGCATACCTCTTGTTCACCACTTTCAGCAGTTTTTCTCTGGCAGCCAAGTCTATTGGTTCCATTAAACAACTTGAAACCAGGTGCAGAAACTGCTTCCTTCTACAGTAGGGTCAGGCTTACCAAAATTGCAGCTGACAGTTGTATAGCCTAATAGTGTATGTGTAAATATTAGATTAAGTAGAGTCCCTTCTATTTTCTCACTTGGCTATATAGGAGAAACATGTTGGTGTTATTACAGCCTTCCCTTTTGCAAGAACACTGAATGCTCTGTAGGTTTTTATTAATTTTTTATACTAATTGTTACCTCCAGACCTCTTGGACATCTATTGCAAAACTGGATTAACTGTGAGTCCTCAACAGTACTTGTCTTGCTCCAAATTGCACTTAATTGTAAGTATTTGGAGCTATACTCAGATCTAGGGTCACTTAGAGACAAACTTTAAGCAAAATTTTACTTCAGGGGCACTGACCAATCTGAGTGAGTTTATACTTTGCCCTCCAGTGCATCTCTTTCATACTCAATTCTGAGTACTTGGTCCTATTCCTGCCTGCTTGCAGTGATTGGCCTGTAAGACTAGGTCTTTGAAATGCTTAAAGAAATTTAAGAGCATCATAATTAATTGAAACTTAGGTGTTCTTTTTGCTAACTATTGATTTCAAGCTGACAATGATGGAGGGCTAGAATCCTTCCCAATTTTGATTATTCCTTCCTGGGCAGGGACTCGGATATACAAGGGAGAAACCTATTTTCCTGTTCGCTCCTGCGATTGGAGCATCTTTACAGCGCAACTCAAACCTTGGTTCCTTTAATAAAATGCATTCTGTGTACTGGCCTCTAGCATATTTCACCATTACTTAAGCTATTAAGATTCACCACATACAAACTGTGCCATCATTTAGTAGTCTCTGAAGTGCAGAGTGCAGTGATTCATGCAGCAGCCTTATTATTGCTGTCTTCTCATCTGCAATATTTATTATCTTCTGCAGTGTGTACCTGGGAGCTTGGAGGATCCAAAAGCCGTGACACATCATAAGTTGATACATGCTACTTCTGAGAAGGTGCTGACAGACACAAAAACAGTGTTAGAGGAGAACATTCAAGATAGAGGTAAAATTCTTCCCCCCTCAATCCTTCCCTTTTATCCTACCAGCCTGGCAACATGAAACTATTTTATTATTTGTCAAGTTGCAAGCTGTGACCTTTTAGTATCCACTCTCAGCTTCGGCATGAGGAAGCTAATAAGATGGCAAAAAGGGAAGAGGAAAAATACTTCTTCTCCAGGGAGGGAGAGGAAACAGCATTAACCGCTTGGTCATAGCAAGCTGTTGGCAAGTGCCTCTCTGCCTCTCTCCCTGCAGCAGCCCTGCTGCTGTCAGGGAGGTGAGACAGCAGCCGACAGCTGAGATCACTGAGCTGCCTGGTTGAACAGTTCTAGCTGACTCTCTTGCTGCTTCGTGTGGCAGCCAAAAGCCTGTCTGTTGATCCCTTTGCATTCTGGCCAGCTGGACAAATGAGGGTTAACAGCCTTCACCAACCATCTGTTGGTCTTGGCTGTTATATATGGATCCAGGCCTAGGACACTTGTTGCAGAAAGCATGATTTGTTTGCTTTTTACTTGCTTAACGTGACAGACTAAAAAAACCTGCATGTCCTGCTGTATCTGGCTGAAAGATGCAGGTGCTGCCCAGGACAGGGCTGATTTGGCCCTCAGCAGTGTGTGTGCATCTCTGCACCCTTAAAATACCTCTGGTAATAAGTGAGGGGCTTTAAAAATATGCCTTGTAAAGGGAAAGTATTATCTTTAAAAGATTGAATGAAGTGTGTGGCATTTGGTCTGGCAGGGCAGAGCCTTGCGATTTGCCTGTGTGGTGCCCAGTGATGCACCCTGCTGCACACAGTGGCGATGGCTCTGCTGCCACTTGTGTGCAAAGGGGAGTGAGGCTCAGCCTGGTGCCAGGAGCTGTCACTGAAGCTTTGGGTTTGACTCACTATGTTGAAGGCCTCAGGTGGAAAGAAAAGAAACCCCAAGCAACACGCAGCCTTTCTGCACTGCTGCCTCCTCCGTGGAAGTGCTGCTGTGCCCTTATTATAATGGGCCAATTACTGTGTTCACACAGCCACGCAGGACGTGGGGAGCCTGTAGTATTCTCCAAGGGTGTTGTGTGAGGAGAGAAACCAGTGATAATGAAAATGTAGCTGCTGATGGATCATGTTCTGAACTCCGGTGCTACCATCACACGAGTACGTCTGTTCTAACTGGTGTCAGGCCCTGGTTTTGTGTCCAGTCCTTTGCCACGTATCTGTGCAGCACATTCCTCATAGCAGTGTGTGCCTGCAGACATGGAAGGGGAATGTGTATACCCATACTGGCTTCCAGGGTGAGAAGTGATGTTTTAGCACAATTAAAACTCGCCTAAAGGAAAATTTGAAGCTGTAAAGTATCTCACAGGAGTCACTTTCACTTTATTTTCTAACATGTTTCACTGTTATTCTCCATGGAAGGGGAATGTGTATACCCATACCGGCTTCCAGCGTGAGAAGAGTGATGTTTTAGTACAGTTAAAACTTGTCTAAAGGAAAAATTGAAGCTGTAAAGTATTTCACAGGAGTTACTTTCACTTTATTTTCTAACGTTTCACTATCATTCTGTTTTTAGATGTCTTGCTCTTAATAAAGAAGCGTGTACCCCCTCCACTCCCCAAAATGGCAGATGTATCAGCAGAGGAGAAAGTGAGTTTGGAAGAGTTCTTGACTATTCTGGCTTGATTAACAACCTTATTGAGTTTCAGAAGGATTTCTGGGCTGTGCTCCTTGTTTAGAGGCAAATGTACCAGCTAAATCCTGTGGAAACTATTTCACCTCCTAAACTTCTAAAGGAAACTAATTTGCATTTTAAATTCTGAGAGCACATTTGCCTTAGAATAACAGATGCAGATATGCTTTGTGGAAGTAATGTAGATTTGGTCTTTGAATAAATGTCTAGTAACTATGTGAAGCAGGGCCATGCAGCAGGTTCAGTTCTGCCCTACAATCCCAAAATGGCATTGGTGCTATTAATCCTTTGTATTGCTGGGCTGTTGCTTCTCAGCTGCAAGCTACAGAGCATTGCCTGGTGCCCTGGTGAAGGATATAAAATTCCCGCCAGCCGTGTTCTTTGCTGTGTTCTTTGTCCTGTGGATAATGGGTTATGAAACCTGATCGTGTCTCCTATCTTTTAGAGGAAACAGGAGCAGAAAGCTCCTGATAAGGAAGCTATTCTCAAAGCAACTGCAAATCTGCCTTCTCGCAATGTCGATCGCACTGTGGCTCATCACAACATGAGGGATGTAAGTATTAGACTTTTTTTTTAACCTCGTGCACTGACACCTAAGCAGGCTTTTTTCTTGCATAAGCTTTTCTATGCCCTGTGAATATGATTAGTCTTTTTTCCGTAATAGAAATTCAGGTATAAAAATATGTATCAAACTCAATTGTATGACCTAAATCCAAATCTTCTTAAGCTATTCAGTGATTAGGAGGAAAAAAAAGTCTCCAAACCCTCTGTACTGAATTGTGATTTAAAATGTTGTTCATGCATAGGAGAGCTTCAGTAACGATTTTCAAGATCTGGAAAATGCAAAATCAGTTAAGTGATAAGGGAGAACTACTTTTAATGTATAAGCTCTGCATTCTCTAGTGTATGAGTACTATTATGTGTTCAAATGGGCATTTTTTAACTATAGAATACTTAAGTGATCAGTCACTGTAGCAATTAAGAATAATATTTTATTCAGTCTAAAATAGCTTGGATGTTTTCAATGTCTCTTTCCTATTCCATGGTTTTGAAAAGAGAAATTTTTAAACTTTGACTTCAGTAGCTGAATGCCCATGAAGCCTTTGCAGCTCCTGTGTCTTCAGCAGAATGTGGCTACCGTCCCTTCTATACTGTTAGGTATCATTCTACTTCATTGCTATGAAGTAGCAAATGTGCCTATGTACTGCAGGGGGTTAAAATGTCCTGCTAACCTAAAAAGGACAACTGACATTTAAGTTATTTAATGGCTAATGTGACCTTTTGGGTGGATTTTTTTTTAAA